CCACACCTGTGCCTGTGCGAATACCCAGCCCCGGAATTCCTTTGCAGTCACTTACTTTGTCGCACACCAAACTGCCTTCATCTTTCCCTGCCTCCACCTCGGGGAGGGCTGTCCAGGCTGCCATCCTGCAGGGCGGTCCTCTCAGTGCTCTCCACACCTGTGCCTGTGCGAATACCCAGCCCCGGAATTCCTTTGCAGTCACTTACTTTGTCACACACCAAACTGCCTTCATCTTTCCCTGCCTCCACCTCGGGGAGGGCTGTCCAGGCTGCCATCCTGCAGGGCGGTCCTCTCAGTGCTTCCATCGCCTTGGCCGCATCGTTGCTCTGCGTTCTTGGTTCAGTTTCGATTCTTCCCCACCAGAGGGTCAAGCGAGTGCCTGGCCAGAGCAGCTGCGCAGTGAGTGGCCACAGAGCATGAGCAGGGGAGGAAAACAGTCTCAGCATATGGCCTGCTGGGATCCTAGCAGGTGCGGCCAGTGGGCGCCATAAAAATGACAGAAGATGGACGGTTTAAAAACTAGGTCCATCTTGGACCAGCTAGGAGTAACAGTGCTTTAGAGCCGCGTGCTTCAGCAGGAGCGAATGAAAGTAGCAAGCTGCAGAGGGGTGTGCGGAGCACGGAGCCATTTATTTAATGTCTACAAATGGATGGAACCACAGTGTGGGACTGGGCACGCACAAGTGCTCGGCACAGTCGGGGTGGGAGGGGTGAGACTCGCCACACTCAAGAGAGCGTCGACCTGGGGTAGGGAGCAGGATGCAGCTGTATAACATTGTTTGATCTCAAGCTGGGTGGCGGATACATGGTATTTGTTGTACATCTGAAATGGCTTGTAATCGTAAGTGATTTTAGAATGAGCCTCAAGCAGCCCATTCATCTGCCTCACCTTCACTGCCTGCTCCCATCCCATCCCAGAGGTCTCTGCCCTGGTGCACCTGCTTGCAAGGTGGCTCTCCCAGGGCCACTAACTCACAGGAGATAGCAATCAGGAGCTCAACTGAGGGGAGGAATGACTGGGCAGGGTGGCTCTCGTAGGGGACTGGGCCTCTCAGACCAGAGCCCTTGGGCCCTGCACAGATGACTCTGGAAAGGTCTGGAGCCTGGGAGTGAACCCACAGGTGTGGGCTCTGAGCAACAGGAAAGATGATGGGCCGGCATGCACAGGAGGCCATTTTCAGATGCTTAGACTACTGTCGCCAAGTCCCATGTTCACAGGAGCAATATGGGAGTTTTTGGGGCCAGTGACCCCAATGGACCTATGTTGAGGCATGCTGGGGAGACTGTGTCCAATTAGGACATTGTGACCTTGGAAGTGAAATGGCCCTTGGGGACAGTTTCCACCAACTGGAACTCGACAGTAGCGTGTCAGAGCCAGGGACACCTGGTGCACAGCCTTGGTGGTGGAGGCCCGGGAGGAGATCGATCTCTCAGGTATTTGATGAAAGGTGCTGAAACCCAGATTTCCGTGCTGTTCACTGCCACTGTCAGGCCTTTACACCCCTGGGGGCCCGTGAGTCCTGACCCTGCAAGGGCGTGTGGAAGCCGCAGGAAGGAATGGGGACATCAGGCAGCCAGGAGTTAGGGAATAACGGGGGAGCCCTTCATTCCCAGCAGCTGCTGCCAGGGCCCCTGAGCCTAGGCCACCAGGGTCAGGGGACACGGAGGCCCAGTTTGGCAGTGGCACATGGAGACCCTGGCGATTAGTCCGGCGAGCAAACGCTTCTCTCCAACAGATTGATTACTGAGGACAACGAAGGCGGCCTCTTCACAGTAACTCTGTTCCGAAAAGTAATTGATGATTTCAAAACCAAAGCCAAAGAAAACAAGTAAGGGCGTGGCCTCGGGGGCGTCTCTGGGTTTTGTGTTTCCCTGGGGCGGGTGTGGGGGTGGTGGTGGTGTGTGTGTTTCTGCTTTGCCTGGAAGCTTCTTAGTGAACAGCCATCATCATGTTTTAAGGTTTACAGTCCGTGAATTTTATTATGATGAAAAAGAAATTAAAAGAGAAAAGGAAGAGATGAGCAGACTGCTGTCTGATAAAAAGCAACAGTATGTGAGTATCTGACGCCGGCCAGGTGAATTTCCACGTAAGATGCTGAGTGTGCCCCTTCCACCCCCACCCAATGGCCTGGGGGCAGAAAACCCTCCCAAGTCCCCACTTCTCAATCTTATTGTCCCCAGTCTCCTGGGCTCACACCATCAGGAACATCTGTTCTCACAGGGCCACCAGAGCAGGGTCTGGGGATGGGGTTGATGAGACAGCACAGACCGAGCGGTCCCACGCTGTCGCTTTCTGCATTGGGGCTCAGGGTCCTGTGCACTGCCCTTCGGGGAGGGGCTGCTAGCTCCACTTTGCAGATGAGAAGTTGAGGCTCTGACAGGTTAGCAAACAAGCATTCCCCTGGCTAGGGGACCCTGCCTAACCCTCCCCCAGGATTGAGTCAGGGAGGTGGGCTCTGGGCAGGAGCATCTGTGCCCAGAGTGAGCAGTGCCACCGCCTTGGAGAGTGTGGCCAATGGTCATCCTGCTATCCTTGCCGTGTGGTTTCCAGGGAGTCACCAGCACCTATATTTACCTCTCCTGTGTTAGCAAAGAGTGGCTGCTCAGCTGTGAGACTTCCACCCAGAGCCACTCAGAAAGTTTTCATGTAAGAGGGCAGCTTAGCTCATGAGGGAGAAAGACCAGACTCATTTTTGAAATGTGAACAGCGTAGCCTTGAGAACGTCACTGTGCTACTCTGAGAAATGGGCACATTCCAGACTCAGTTTCCTCCAGCTGCAGAGCTGAGCTAAGCCAGGTGACCCTGAAGGAGCCTGTCTGGACAGAGTGTTTTCGGGTCCCTTCTCCGCAATCCCTCGAGGGAGGGTAGTGCAGAGTACCTTCCAACTCAGCCTCGAGCGATAGGAAGGCAAGAATGAGTAGAATGTACTCCAGGCCCTATGGAGTGAAGTCGGTGTGTAAACATAAGGCTGTAAGTGTGCGCTTGTGCAAAGAGCAGCGGCCACGGAGGCAGGTTAGAAGTGCTTCGCAGGCAGCTGTTTGCCCAGGGGCCTCCAAGGACATGGGGCGGATGGCCAGGGGGATTGTGCACGTGCACATGACCTCTCTGAGTTAGTGACCTTTCTGCAGGGACTGCAGACAAGCAGCCCCCTTCAGGAGTTAGCACCAGCCATGGTGCCCCCAAAATGGGGTTCTCAGAGCCCCACTGATCTGGTCTGTTTCTCTTTAAGAAGAAAGCAACTGAGGATATAGAAGTTTATACTGGGGACTTTCAGCCCTCCTCCCCAAAGCGTAAACGGAGGGACACATGTACATGTTTGTGTATGGCTACATATGTGCACGACACAGGAGCACACAGTCCTCGGACCCAAAATCTGCTGGGCTCCAGGAGGGCAGCCCCTCCTGTGGACAAAGGGCCAAGCTGGAGTCTCCTAGCTTGGCCCCAAGGCCCTGTCCTGGTGCTCCAGGGCTCAGAGCACTGGCCACAGACCCGGCACCCAGGCTGTTCACCTACCAGAGCGGAAACCCAGTAATCTCAGCTCACCTGAAACCCTCACTGGCATGTACGCCCAGCCATCCTCATGGGGTGGGCCTTTTCCCTGGTTGCTTCAGTCCTGACCCTAAGACTCCACCCAGCTCAGTGTCTCTGGATGGGTCCAGACCCTGGGAGCTTTCACCAGCGTTCAGCTGGGAGGCTGTGCTCTGAGACAGATGGGTGGAGTAAGGCGTTTGGCACCCATCTCTGTGCTGGCATAGGCCCGCCAGAGCCCCTGTGGATCAGGGTGACACACACCAGCCCGACACCTGCCATGCGGGGCTCAGGCTACCAGCTGGCATTCCTTTACATGGTGTAGAATTTGGCACTACCCACACTGCCCAGGGCAGGCCTGCCAGCTTCACTCTGTGGGGGCGAATGGAGCTCCAGACAGACAGACAGACTCGTGGGAAACCATGGTGAGCAGAGCCTCAGGTTGGGCACAGGGCAGGCCTGCCAGCTTCACTCTGTGGGGGCGAATGGAGCTCCAGACAGACAGACAGACAGACTCGTGGGAAACCATGGTGAGCAGAGCCTCAGGTTGGGCCACCCCCGCCGGCTTCCTGAGACCCTCTCTCCTGCTGTGGCCTATTTGAAAGTGGATATGACCAAGCGTCTTGCATCCTTTTTGTTACCTGCCGGGGGGACTGGCTAGGTTCCAGGGTGTTAGTGCACTATCAGAGCACAGGGTGGATTTTCCTGAGTTCACCTGTTTGCAGAGTGTTAAAGGGTGAAATGTCTAACGGCACGCCTGACTAGTTTTCTGCACGTAGCATGCTTAAGTGCTCCGTGAATGCCAAGGAGTCTTGTGTAGCTGGGTGTGGTGGCGACACCTTGACCGAAAGCCCAGCTCCACCGGCAGGGCCACCCGTACCTCCTGGCAGTCTCCTTGTCTGCTGTCTAACGGCACGCCTGACTAGTTTTCTGCACGTAGCATGCTTAAGTGCTCCGTGAATGCCAAGGAGTCTTGTGTAGCTGGGTGTGGTGGCGACACCTTGACCGAAAGCCCAGCTCCACCGGCAGGGCCACCCGTACCTCCTGGCAGTCTCCTTGTCTGCCGATTGGGGGGGGGGGGTCCTGACCAAGGCCCGGCAGGGGGAGGGGATGTGTAACTGACCCCTCTGCCAGGGACCGGCTGTGTCGCTGGAACCAGCAATGCCCCCATCTAGGGGCCTGGCGGGCACTTGCCACATCTGTAGTCCAATCCAAGCAGCACGTGAATCCTGAGGGTGGGCCCCAATTCCTGAGCTTGCTTTCACATGCTCTTCACGTGATGAGAATTGTTTGTTTGTGATGCATGTTTGCCGAAAGATTAATAAATCATTTCTATGCCTTTAGCAAACTTCCTGTGTTGCTCTTAAAAAGGGATCATCCACCTTCCCGGACCACAAGGTTAAGGTAACCCCGCTAGGTAACCCTGATAGGGCCGCTGCGGGGCAGACCGACAGCGAGAGAGAGAGTGAGGGCGAGGTAAGCAACGCCCGGGCACCCTGGGGGTCCCTGGCTCGCATCTCCTCGCCAGCTCAGGCGTCTTCTGAGAAAACAAATCCTTGCATTTTCTGTTGTCTAATATGGCTTTTGAGGTCTAAATTCAAGGCACCCAGAATCATGCCTTCCTCCTCATCTGCAGGGCCTCAAGCAGTGAAGGGTGCTTGGCAGCCAGGGCACCAGTGCCCTGGCTGGAGGTGGCTGGAGCTGGTGATGGGCAGGCCTGGCCGGGGGTGGCGCTCGAGCAGGTCAGCTCTCCTCCACTGGCTGGACCCACCCCTGACCTTTGTGGGCAGTTGGAGGCCTCAGGTGGGAGCCCCCCAGAGAACTGCCGCACGCAGCAGCTGCTGTGTCAGGAGCCCTCTGGAAGCGGCAGCTGGTGGATGATGCCAAGACCCTGGGGGCAGTACCTTCTGAGAAGGTGGGCTCCCTGGCTGCGCAGTGTCAGGCAGAAGCCCGTTAGCTGCCTGCTGAAAGCCCTGAGGTCAGGGGCTGTCCAGCTCCCCGCACCCTGGCGGGCAATGGCCCTACGCTTGTGCCGGGTGGCTGTCTTGCTGTGCTTCCCGAGTGCCAGGTGCCCTGGACACCGTGGTCCTGAGCCTCATCCAGGGCCTGTCCAAATATCTGCTTGTGCTGGCTCCTGGGCATTTCTTCTCAGCTCAGGACTTACTCTGTCAAAACCCAAGTCCTCTCTTGGCCCAGCGTCAGGACAAGAGGCCAGGAGGGGTCACCTGGCTCTTCTGTCTCTGCAGGGCCCCCTGCTGCGCTGGCTCAAGGTGAACTTCAGCGAAGCCTTTATTGCCTGGATCCACATAAAGGCCCTGAGAGTGTTTGTGGAGTCCGTGCTCAGGTGCGTGGAGGAGATGCCTGGCCTGAGGGTGGGGAGGGCCTGGGGGCGCCAGGTCAGGGCCTGCTCCCTTCCCGTCCTTCTGCCCCCCTGACTCTTGGCCTCCTGCTTGAGTCCCTGCGTCAAAGGAACCCTCCCTCAGCCCTGTGTCCCTCTGTCTGCTCCTTCCCTTTCCTGCCAGGCTTCGAGCACATGTCGTCTGCATTCTGTCCCCACTTCCTCACCTGCCCTACACACGTGGACACTCCAGCTGGCTCCTGTCCCCACCCTCTGTGCAGCACGCAGGGCCTTAGTCACTTCTGGAAACGTCCCCGGATGGTCTTAGTCCTTAGCCTCCAACACCCAACTTAAGGCAGCCCAAAAAGAAAACTAAAACCAAACCAAACCAATGTCAACAAAATTTTTTTTGCCCCCCCCCCCTTTTTTTAAAAGACAAAAGCAAAATAGATTCACTGTAGAAAATTTGGAAACTACAGGTAAGCACGAAGGGAATAAAAATCACCTGTAATTTTAATACCAAGAGAAAACACTGCTAACATCTGGTATGTGCCCTGTTAGGTACTGGGGTGTTTTTCTTTAATGTACGTATACACATAATCTTTACTGAATTTTTATGAAAATGGAACCAAACGGAAAACATTTTTTGAAGACTGCTTTTCTGCCTTATTTTGAATATGTCCTTTGTCATTAAGTGTTCGCGGTCTCAGCAGCACTGTCCACTGCTGGTGCTCTGACCTGCAGGCTCTGGGTGCTCCTCTGGCCCCTCGGACCCCTTCCCCACCTGCACTGACTGCACCGCAGGATCCCTCCGGGCCATCTGCCTGGCTGGCCGTCCCCTCCTTTCTTCATTTCCTGCCACAGGCGTTACCTGCATGTCTGCTTCAGCTTCACTCCTGTAGCCCTTCCTCTGGCTTCCTCGCTTCTGCAGTGGCCTCACTGGACCCCAAACCTCAGGGTCGGCTTGGATGCACCCCTGCACCCCTCAGCACGCCTTGTCCCCTCTGTCTCTGCTTTCTTGCTTCCTTTGTCTCCTGGCCAGCTTGCCTGCCGTCGCCATAGCCTCTCTTGGTTCTCTGCTGCCAGCTCATCCTCCACGTGACTGTCAGTGTGTGATTTTGTCCCCAGTATAGAGCTGACCTCGCTTCCTCATTCTTCTGCCCCACATATCCTCCACGTGACTGTCAGTGTGTGATTTTGTCCCCAGTATAGAGCTGACCTCGCTTCCTCGTTCTTCTGCCCCACACCTACGGCACACCCAGACCTACACACGTGCATGCACACATGCCCATCTTGGAGGGCTGAAGGGGCACGGGTCACAGCAGGGGGTTGAAGGGTGTGCTCAAGCTCACCTGGAGTGTTCTAGCCATTTAGAGTGTAGATGCGCCCCAGACCAACCCTGCGTGTCTTAGAAACGGGTTGTTCTCATGCGCTTGGCCGTGCCTCCAGGAGGCCTATTTGCTTGAGAGAGGTGGAGACAGACAGCCTTAATATCTTACTTAAGCTCAAAAAAACGAAGTATTTCCTCTAAAGGTATATGCAAAAGGAATTCTTTCCAAAACTATCAATGTGTGACCTCCTTTATCTTTCCTGAAACAGTTGCAATACACCAAGCACCTGGTGCACTTCATCCATGAACCAGCAGTTAAAAAACAATCAAGTTCAGAAATACATACTGTGGGAAGTGAGTTCCTCGCAGTCTCGCCGCCCACAGATATTCATGGGAAACGGCTTCGAGACTCTTGTTATTCCCCCAAAGGGGGTTACTTGTACTTCGTGTTCTGCAGCGTGCTCGTTTCATTTACTGTGCAGTGTACTCTCCGATCAGTACGCGTAGAGCGACTTGGTCCTTTTTAATGGCTTTTTCATATTTTGTCAAATGAAGGTATCATAACCCAAGAAAACTGATGGCCTGTGAGGAGGGAGGTGGCGCCACTCGCTTGCTGGCCCTCTGGCCTCCCGCTGGCCTTGCCCTGTCCGGCACTTGCTGCTGTCTTCCCGCGCCAGCGCTGCTTGTCTTTCTCCTGCGCTGGGAGCCGAGTCTTGTGCCACTCAGTCTCCATCGCCAGCCCAGAGTCAGACAAGCAGCAGATGTGGAATGTCTGCAGACCGAATAAAATCGGCGGCAAGTAGACGCGGCCCTTGGTTAAGGTGCTGGTTCGTCCTTGGGGAGGAAGTGCACCAGGTGCTTAAATGATCCTAGAGCAACATGGACATAGGCCCTGGGTGAGTGGGGGCTGTGCTGAGGTTGCCGAAGCTGACCGAGTGGCTGGTTAATTGGGTCTGGGTGCTGGGAGAGGTCTCAGTGGGGAACAGCTGGTAGCGAATCACCAGTGGTAGGTGTGTGGATGAGATCACCCAGGGAGAACGGTATAGAGGAAAAGTGCCAAGGGGGAACCCTGACATTTAAGGGGCAAGTGGAGGCAGAGAAGTCAAGGAGGAAGTCAGAGGCAGGAGGTGGGAATAATCAGTGGAGTGAAAGATTAAGGGTTCAGGTATCCCTTGGATTTGGCCATTAGGACGAAACAGGTGGGAAAAGGTGGAGGCAGTGGTAGAAGAATGAGTGACAGGGGACATGAGATGCTCTCGAGGAAGACAGGCAGTGTGCTCTAGGGAGCTGAAGTGTTTATGTTAAACAGGCGAGATGCTGGTCTGTTAAAGGGAAGGGGACAGTAGTAGAGAAAGGCTGACCCCTGCAAGAGAACAGCGAGGGTGGCTTGGCTACAAGTACTCGGTGTGGACGACCCACCAAGTGACCTTGTGATCATGGAGGACTGGCCCTGGAGGGAGCAGGAGGGCCTGGAGGAGCGGGCTGGCCACTCCTGGAAGTCCTGTTCAGGGCAGAACGGAGGCAGCGTTCATTTGAATCGATCCAGAAGAAGTTGTTGGTAGGTTGGCACAGGATGGGGGTTGGGGGGCTGGAAGCCAAGAGGGGGTGGGCTGAGAAAGGGGCCAGGGCTTGCAGCCTTGGTGAGGGGGGAGCAACGTGCATTCAGTCCACACTATTTATGGCCTGCCTGTTACTCAGCAGACACTGGGGATATGGCCGTGAACAGAGCAGGGCGGTGGGGGAGGAGGGTTTTAAAGATGGGCCCTTGTTCAGGGTGATGGGGAAACAACCTCCCAGGACAACTTGGCAGTGACTGTGGGGCCATGAACAAGCAGGATGAAGGATGACAAAGCAGCGTGGCATAGGGGAGTTTGTGTCCAGGTAGCAGAGTGGTCCCTTAGCATCCATGTGGTCTGGGGTATGGCATTATTGAGCCTTTGCCGTCTGAGAAGGGGGCAAAGCACGCCTAAGAATTGCACTGTATTGAGGCAGTAGAGCTGTTCTGACGAAGTGGAGGGTGTGGAGCC